CCAATTATGAATGCCTGTGTATGGCTTCTGGCGCTCCTCGCAGCTCTTACAGCCGCCCCGAGTCATAGTCTTCTTCGTCCTTTTTTTGTTACGCAGGCAAAACCTCTATTTAAATACGTTGGGGAACTTAAAGGACACACCAACGAACGGACCTCAGACCTAGCCTCTCGCAAGTCTCACGGGTGCTTAACGGAGAAGCCTTTAAGCAGTCCGCGCAGCTTCCGAGCGCTTACGGCATACTATCTTCTAAAAAGCCCTGCGAATACCCTCTACGCTGTTAAATGCGGAACCGCGAGTTCCCCGTTGCGGGACTTCACTGCGTCTCAGCGCCCAATAGCCTCCCGGCCTAGCCAGGGATCCACGGCAGGGATCCCAGGGGTACTTTGGGTGATCTCGCAGACGCGCGCAGGACTGCCCGCGTTAGGAGCTAAGTGCGGGGCCTATTGCCCACCACACCGCCCTAGGTATATACGCTTCTGGTGGGGAAGCGTAATTTATTTCACCTCGTATAAAAAAAAGGCAACTTTGGAAACTATAAGTGGATTTAATAGGTCTCGCTGAGAAAGTGAGGGCATGGCGGATTTCTTGCTCTAGTAAACGCATGTTTGAGGTAATAATAACTACCTTTTGGTGATGTTTTCCTTGTATTGGTAATTTTAACGGCCGTTGTGGTTTTACCGGACACCGGGTCGTTTCGATATGCTATTGTCTTTATCTAGCAACGCATCGATAAAAAAGACAAGAAAATTGCATCATCATCATCATTATCAGACGATGTGCGTCCACTGCTGGACATAGGCCTCCTCAAGGGATTTCCATATGGAAAGATCCTGCGCTTTCCGCATCCAGTGGGTTCCCACGACTCGCTTGATGTCGTCAGTCTACCTCGTGAGAGGTCTACCGACACTGCGCTTCCCAGTGCGAGCCGAGGGGAACCTTGGAATGAACGTTGGGGTTCATCGGTTCGCCGAGCTATGTACCCCGTCTATTGCCACTTCAGCTTGGCAATCCGTTAAGATATGTAGGTCGTTCTAGTTTAATTAAATTGCATCGGTGTCCAGTAAAACGGAAAGAGGTAGCATAGCGGGTTGCCTGCTCGAATTTGAGCGCCCGTCTGGGGAAGTTACCTCCACCTTACAGAAGATTTCAGTAAAATACCACTACGTACTGTAGGGTTTAACTTGGGGAGAAACCATGGGGACGCACGTTTTTACAATAACTATAAATGATAATGCTCGAGATGTTTTACTTTGTTTATTTAAACACAGAGAAATTACAATAATTTTTCTATCAACCGATCGAGTATGTGCCTGAATTCTATCTCCTAGAATTTTCGATATGTGACAGAAGGTTCTCATATTTGAATCTTTAAAATAATGACATTTACTTTTAATACAACTGCCAGCCGTAGGCATAACATAAGCAAAGAGTTTACACAAACAAGGAGATTCTAACGCTACGGTCGTTACAGTTGGTACCTTTTGTTGGTGTTGTGTTTCTGTCGGTGAGTAAGGTTCCAGGGCTCCACGGGGTAGGGGATTGTGGTAGGCAAAGGCGCGAGTGATATTTTTGGTATCGCAAGCGTCTATAGACTATGGAGGCCGCTCACCATCAGGCGGGCCATATACTTGTTTGCCATCCTTTCAACACAAAAAAAAGACTTCAAAATCGAAAATGGAACTAAAAAGATTGAAACATTAAATAGATTTTCGTTTTTGATCAATAATAATACTTTTTTCAATCTTGACCCCGCCCGACTTCCAAATCATGAATCAGATATTATTTTTTACTATTTTGAAGTCGGTTTAATTTTTTCGCAATCCGTTAAGCTATGTAGGTTGTTCTAGTTTAATTAAATTGCATCGGTGTCCAGTAAAACGGAAAGAGGTAGCATAGCCGATTGCCTGCTCGAATTGGAGCGTTGGGAAGTACCATCCACCTTACAGAAGAACACAGTAAAATAGCACTAGGTACTGTAGGGTCTAACTTGGAGAGAAGCCCTGGGGACGCAGCTTACAATAACTATAAATGATAATGCTCGAGATGCTTTACTTTGTTTATTTAAACACAGAGAAATTACAATAATTTTTCTATCAACCGGTCGAATGCCTGAATTCTATCTCCCAGAATATTCGATATGTGACAGAAGGTTCTCATATTTGAATCTTTAAAATAATGACATTTACTTTTAATACAACTGCCAGCCGTAGGCATAACATAAGCAAAGAGTTTACACAAACAAGCAGATTCTAACGCTACGGTCGTTACAGTACCTTTTGGTGGTGTTGTTTCTGTCGGTGAGTAAGGTTCTAGGGCTCCTCGGGGTAGGGGATTGTGGTAGGCAAAGGCGCGAATGATATTTTTGGTATCGCAAGCGTCTATAGACTATGGAGGCCGCTCACTATCAGGCGGGCCATATACTTCTTTGCCATCCTTTCAACACAAAAAAAAAGACTTCAAAATCGAAAATGGAAATAAAAAGATTGAAACATTAAATAGATTTTCGTTTCTGATCGGTTATAATACTTTTTTCAATCTAGACCCCGCCCGACTTCCAAATCATGAATCAGATATTATTTTTTACTATTTTGAAGTCGGTTTAATTTTTTGTTTTTTTTTTTATTTCATCCATTTTAGTGATAATTTCATCGTTCAAGTAAACAATAACACAATTGACGAAGAAATCGGTGAACATGCATAAAAAAACATCGTGCGTGCCTTTGAAATTTGAAGGTTTCCCTCGATTTCCCCGGATTCCACCATCTGATCCTGACTAAATATATATATATATATATCCAATGGGACTACCTCGGAATATAAATTTATTTAATTCGAATAAAAATAAATTTATTTATTTCGAATAAAAGGAGAATTTTGGAAATCGGTCCACAATTGACGGAGAAATCAGTGAATATACATAAATATACGAGTATATACAGTCGAACACTGAACCTCCTCCTTTTTTGAGGTCAGTTAAAAATGAGGTCTATAGTCTAAACGGTTCCATAAATACAATAATTAATATAATTGATTAGATTCAATCTAAAGAAAAGTTTACTAGAAAAAAAAAACGCTGCCTGGTCCGCGTGGATTTTTTCTAGTAAACTTTTGTTTAGATTTAAACATCTAGCAGTTAAATGCTTAAAAAATAAAATAAAATCATAACTATAATTGCTATTTCTTCTTTCAAATGTTTAATACTTGAAAAAGTATTCATTTGACATTGTGGGTTACCTACAATGCGAAGAGATGGCGCTGCCTTGCAGCTTAAGGCTAGGAAAATTTCGACACGGCTAATAGGGCCGTGGTAGCATAATGGTCAGTGCATTCGCCCGGATAGCGAAGGATGCGGGTTCGAGTCCCATCCGCTGCCTGGTCCGCGTGGATTTTTTTCTAGTAAACTTTTCTTTAGGTAAGGTATTTTTAAAACGATTATCGATAGTATTAATTGGGTTTGAATCTCCAATTTAGTTTTTCAACTAAAAGGGTACCTTAACTACCAGGGTAAGCGGAAAAATGGTCATTTACGTGGATTTACAATCAGATCAAATATCTAAATCGTGATTTGCGTGTTTCTAGGCGAGTAATGAATAAGCCGACGACCGTAAACCCCAACAAAATGGTCTATTAGGTACTATCAGGTTTTACAATCAAAATATGAATTTTAACTTTGTGCGTAGTCATATATATACCTAACCGTGAATTGTTATCTGAGAAACTTGCAAATCGTATAAATAAAAATATCAATAGAATATAAGACAACAAATATTATTAAGATTTCATAACTGCACAATAGGGATGATGACAAACTTTTTTTTCTTTTTGATCAGGTTGATTATCAAAAAGTATTGGACACGTATTTTTTTTCTTTTTCCACATAATATAAATATTGCAGAGATATATTGATTTGAAAAGTCGCATGACGTCACGTTTTGGTACAATTTTCACTTAAAAGTGACGTCACGAGCCCCTACTTCCAAGCTTTGACGCGCTATATCTTTGTCATTTTTTGGTTGATTGCCCAAAGAAAAAATACGTGTCCATTATTTTTTGATCATCTAACTGACTGACTAAATAGAATTTCGTTTACTGTACCTCGTCATCACCCCTATTATTGAGCGTCAACTCTATAACTGGAGACACTTTTCGAAAAATAAATTAAAGAAAGAAAATGGGCGTAGTTAAATTGAACTACGATGCTAATGAAACTTTTAAATTATTTTACAATGCTCAATTTTTTTCCAGCTTACAAAAAGTGGAAAATCCTTTCCCAGCTGGGAAAAAAAATTGGGCTGCCCGCGTAGCAGGCTAGCTTTCTAACACTGAACCTAGATGCTTGATTTTTAGAACTGATTGTTTTAATAACAATTAAAATGTAATGCGAAATTATAAAGATAAACGAAAAAATTGGTGACGAAGATTCAGTTAAAAAAATAATACGGTTTTGGAACCCAAATTGTTGTCTAAATTCGCAAATAAATTCTTTCAGGTCACTCATAAGTTTGGATATAGGTTAAGATACATTGACACTTTATGGGAAATAGATTGTGGTATTGTAATATACCATCTCACAGCTGCGTCAGGTGAATTTAAATCACTTTAATTACCTTAATTAAATTTTATTACATTAAAGCCTACAATATTACTGATTCCTAATGAGGCGTATCAGTATTAATTATTATATCACTGATTTACTTAATTTTTCTAAACTTCTCTCGATGAATAGGTAACTTTTGGACGATTTCCGTTTCCGGTGCGTTCGGCCAGTTTGTTTAGATAAATCACAAGCGGTACTATTTTATCATAATAACCACTACTACTATTTAATATAATTTAACCTGACCTTACTGATGACGGAGCACACGATTACAAATAAAAACAAAATATAGATCAGTAACAAATGCCTTTAAATGGCTTTTGCCGCCCCTTTGAAACTCTTGCAACCGCCGGTCGAAGCTCTTGCAGCCGCCCCTCGAACCTCTTGCAGCCGCCCCTCGAACCTCTTGCAGCCGCCTCTCGAAGCTCTTGCAGCCGCCCCTCGAAGCTCTTGCAGCCGCCCCTCGAACCTCTTGCTGCCGCCTCTCGAAGCTCTTGCAGCTGCCCCTCGAAGCTTTTGAAGCCGCTCCTTGAACCTCTTGCAACCGCCCCTCGAAGCTCTTGCAGCCGCCCCTCGAAGCTCTTGCAGCCGCCCGTCGAAGCTCTTGCAGCCGCCCGTCGAACCTCTTGCAGCCGCCCCTCGAACCTCTTGCAGCCGCCCCTCGAACCTCTTGCAGCCGCCTCTCGAAGCTCTTGCAGCCGCCCCTCGAAGCTCTTGCAGCCGCCCCTCGAACCTCTTGCTGCCGCCTCTCGAAGCTCTTGCAGCCGCCCCTCGAAGCTTTTGAAGCCGCTCCTTGAACCTCTTGCAACCGCCCCTCGAAGCTCTTGCAGCCGCCCCTCGAAGCTCTTGCAGCCGCCCGTCGAAGCTCTTGCAGCCGCCCGTCGAACCTCTTGCAGCCGCCCCTCGAACCTCTTGCAGCCGCCTCTCGAAGCTCTTGCAGCCGCCCCTCGAAGCTCTTGCAGCCGCCCCTCGAACCTCTTGCTGCCGCCTCTCGAAGCTCTTGCAGCCGCCCCTCGAAGCTTTTGAAGCCGCTCCTTGAACCTCTTGCAACCGCCCCTCGAAGCTCTTGCAGCCGCCCCTCGAAGCTCTTGCAGCCGCCCCTCGAAGCTTTTGAAGCCGCTCCTTGAACCTCTTGCAACCGCCCCTCGAACCTCTTGCAGCCGCCCCTCGAACCTCTTGCAGCCGCCTCTCGAAGCTCTTGCAGCCGCCCCTCGAAGCTTTTGAAGCCGCTCCTTGAACCTCTTGCAACCGCCCCTCGAAGCTCTTGCAGCCGCCCCTCGAACCTCTTGCAGCCGCCCCTCGAAGCTCTTGCAGCCGCCCCTCGAACCTCTTGCAGCCGCCCCTCGAAGCTGTTTGCAGCCGTCCCTCGAATTATTTTAATTATTAATTAGCGGCTTTACGTACGTTTCGAAGCAAGGAAGCCCTTCATTGCTTCGAAAGGGAAGACAATATTGGTCACCCATTTCTATTTAAAAGGAAATTTTCATTAAATATTAATGCTTATGAGTTAATATTAAAGTTTTCTGATCATTTTAAAACCTACCACATTTTTTTGATTGAAAATTATCAACTAAGCTTTCAACAAATGTCAACATTCACGACGTACGGGAAAGTCCTGGAATTCCCCGTTCAGTTTATGTTTGTTTGAAGTAATCAGAAAATTTTCTTGTGTTTCATGTGGTAAACAAGGTCTTACATTATTATAAGGTACAAGCACATGAGCCTTGTTAGGACATCACAAAGTTGATCTTATAGCTAAAATTAAATTTATACAATAAAATTTAATTAACATTATAAGTAACAACAATTATCAAATAAATGTCAAGTTTAATTTTAACAATATATATATTATATAGATAGATTTAAGAATAATAATAATCATATTCGTTTCTTAGATTTTCACACATACACTCATTAAATAAAACTAGTTTTTTACGGGTTAATGCACGAAACTATTTATTTATTGACGTTTCGCAGCCTTTACAGGCTGCGTCGTCAGAATCAATTGTTTATTTAATTTTGTCGAGCTACCTTCGAAAGACTTTTATTGAGCGTTCAGTTATTTCATAGTTCGATTTTAAAGTTTTATTGTCTATGTATGAATTTATTACTTAATTTAGTTAATAAAGTACTTTATTTAAAAATCTTTTTTGTAATTTTGAATTTATTTATTTGACCCTAACTACCGTTAACTACCAATTGAAATTTGGATCCTATTGAAATTGAAATTGTTCAGTTGCAGTGTGTGAACATGCTTTAGGGGGACCAAACCATTACATTAGATTTGATAAACCACAGATCCTTGCAACTGAACAACGATTCATTCCTAGAATGATACGCGAGGCTATTGAGATTAAAAAATATCCAAATTTCAATAGGGAAGATGGTTGGTATATACCACCAGCTTGGGAACCCATTATACAGGAGATAAAATCCCAACCCCGAACACACTGCAAGATCAACAGATACTATTAGTTCTTTTTGTCTGCATAATTTCACATAAGAAGGAGATAGAAAGCCTCTCTTGAGTTTGTTTCGCCGGTTCTTCTCAGAAAGGTCTCCCACTTTTGGAACCGGTGGTAGTTTACGGCAGTTAGGGTCAAATAAATAAATTCAAAATTACAAATAAGATTTTAAAATAAAGTACTTTATTAACTAAATTAAGTAATAAATTCATACATAGACAATAAAACTTTAAAATCGAACTATGAAATAACCGAACGCTCAATAAAAGTCTTTCGAAGGTAGCTCGACAAAATTAAATAAACAATTGATTCTGACGACGCAGCCTGTAAAGGCTGGATAGTGGATATTTTTTAATCTCAATAGCCTCGCGTATCATTCTAGGAATGAATCGTTGTTCAGTTGCAAGGATCTGTGGTTTATCAAATCTAATGTAATGGTTTGGTCCCCCTAAAGCATGTTCACACACTGCAACTGAACAATTTCAATAGGGAAATTTCAATAGGATCCAAATTTCAATTGGTAGTTTACGGCAGTTAGGGTCAAATAAATAAATTCAAAATTACAAATAAGATTTTAAAATAAAGTACTTTATTAACTAAATTAAGTAATAAATTCATACATAGACAATAAAACTTTAAAATCGAACTATGAAATAACTGAACGCTCAATAAAAGTCTTTCGAAGGTAGCTCGACAAAATTAAATAAACAATTGATTCTGACGACGCAGCCTGTAAAGGCTGCGAAACGTCAATAAATAAATAGTTTCGTGCATTAACCCGTAAAAAACTAGTTTTATTTAATAATAATCATATCCAGGTTTTTTAATATTTAATCACACTAATATTATAAAGGCGAAAATTTGTGAGTATGTGAGTGTGTATGTTTGTTACTTCTTCACGTCTAAACGGCTGGAGTGATTTTAATAAAATTTGGTTTGGAGTCAGCTGACACCCTGGATTAACACATTGGCTACGTTTTACAGCGGAAAAATATTTTTCCTATAAACCGCGGGTAACACCGCGGGGCACAGCTAGTAGTGCTTTTTTTTGATGACTCAGGCAAAACCTCTGTTTACAGACGACGGCTCCTTTAAGAGGCACACCGCCGCACGGACCTCACACCTGGCTCCCTCAAGTTTTACGGGCCCCCGCAGTGGCGGCCCCCTGAGAACATCCGCTAAAAAACCCTGCGAATACCCTCTAAGCTGCGTAGTGCGAAGCCGCGGGATCCCCGTTTAGGGATTCTTCCGGGTTTCCGCATCCAGCAGCCTCCCGGCCTAGCCGGGGCTCCGCGGCAGGGGTCTCCCGGGGTACCGCGGGGACCCCGCAGACGTGTGCAGGAAGTCCCCCGCGTGGGGGCGCGCGCGGCTTAGTGCCCACCGTACCGCCCCCCGTCCGCTGCGGAGGGCTACTTGGCCGTGTCCGTGTAACTCCCTCCGCCGCCCCCCTCTTTGCAGGACAGAACTACAAGAGGGGAGCTGCCGTCACGGGATCCCTCGGTGGCCGGCACGGCATAATGCGTCGTACCGGCCAGCTAGGGATCCCCGCGGGCAGGGTAATGGGAAGGGCACAGCCAGGGTGCGCACTCGTCCTCTCCTGCCCGCTCTTCTTCGGCGGGAGGGAGCGGCCAGAGGATCATCCTCCAGCTCCCTCTCGGCCTCCTCCATAGCTAGTAGTCCTGTAGTTTTCACAGTTATTTTGAAAAACATTATTAACAAGGTAATCATTTAAGGTTTTATCAAACTTATCGTATTCGTCTTTCTGCTTTGCTGACTCGTTGTACAATTTAATCGCCATTGATCTCATCCAACTACTGATAGTGTAGTTTTTGGTGGTACAAATCAATATCTATTTCTAAGTTGTGTCGATGCAGTATAATTATCTTTACTATTCACAAAAATATTTTGGTTCTTTTTTACTAGCTTCATGCTTCCAGGATATACAGGGCGTCTCACGGGTTTGTCACACGGAGGGAAAGTACATTAATTATTGAAGATAGGATATTTTACTATGATAACTTATGGTCATCTTATATTTTGATAACCATCGAAAGGGTTAATCTTATCATAAGGATTATTTTTTCTAATTAACATACCATTTTAAATGAAAGGAAGATCACGAAATAAATATTTTGTTCAGGAAAATATCCTCTTACTTTTCCGGGCTACCAACAGCTAATGTTATCATTTCAAAATACTTACTAACTTTACCAACTCACTTAATTAAACAGGATTTCCTTACTAACGTACGTGAAAAAAAGAATGAATCGGTACTTATACAAACCTTTTACCGTTTGTAAATTATTTTAGTTCTTGTTCAATAATTAAAAAAAGTCAAATCGTGATTTTTCTCTCATTTAAAATGCTTTGTTATTTAAGAAAAAATAATCCCCATGATTCACCCTTTCGGCAGTTTGTCATAAAATACATGTCTTTTTTTGTTTCACATTTCACGAGTTCGATTCCTGGTATGGCATGTAAATAGCCATCCACTGGATGCGGATTTGACAATATATATGCGGTGGGCGAATTATTAGGTATGAGCTGATTGGACACCAAGAAACATCAACAATGCAACAAGTGGAAATCAAATTAGGCGCAATGCCACCAACGACTCCCTGGATGTCTCTCTGTCTCCTTAGCGGGCTTGCAAGCGTGGGCACAGCATAAACAGCTCTTTCCCTCTTCCTTTGGCTGCGGTTGAAGAACCTTCTACGCGATTTCCGCGAAAGTATGCGATGCGAATTTATGCAATAGGTGTACCCGACCGACCGCTACAAAACGCGAAACAGCAGAGAGGCCGTTGGAAAAGATGAGCCAACGACCGTTATTAAGTTTGAGTACCCGCGCATAACAATATTTGCAGTACCCATATATCTGCCATCTGGACAGGTTCCCAGATCGAACACTAGGTGGCGTCAGAGCATATTGCAAATCCGAAACCCAAATGCGAACATTGTTGATGTAAGAAAACTCATACATAATAAAACGCCCAACCAATTCCCGTTTTTGGCAGGCGATTTTTTTAAAACTGTGAATGCACTACTACTTTTTATTAAAAATAAAAGGATGTCTTTTTTCAGTAAAATATCCTATCTTCAATATTAAATATACTTTCCCTCCGTGTGAAAAACCCGTGGGACGCCCTGTATAAAGATGTTATAGTTAGTATTTTATATTTTACGGAAAATGTTCTACAGCTTTCCATTGTATCTATACTGGCCATGATTCTTACACATTTTTTTGAAGCGTTAGTAATTTAGGAGCATCCATACTGTTTCCCCATATAGGTATGCCATATCGCAACCATGATTGTGCGTATGCGAGATAAGCTATTCTGGCATTGTGATCCAGCTGCAATATGTCTATTCTATATTTTGTTATCCAAGTTTCAGTAAAGCGCAATATTTTTGGCTCTTTATACTAGGTGTTGTTTCCATTTATAACTTCAAACATTCTGAAACAGGATCTTTGTTTCGAAAGGTATAGTTCTTAGCTGTATTTGACTGTTGTTTTACTTGGGGTTTTGATATGGTTTTTTTTTTGTTATTCGGTAATAGGTAAGCGCTTGACCATAATTCGCCTGATGGAAAGCAATATTATGGTCTACGATGGAGCGCGCTTACCTAATAAAAACTCCACTCCTTCACTCTTGCTTTGAAGACCGCTAGATTGTAGTGCTCGGGGAACAAGGGCTCTGGCAAGGAATTCCACAGTTTGGCAGTCCGCACGATGAAGCTAGAAGGGAATCGCTTAGTGCGAGTCTTTGGAACTGCCACCGTGAATCGATGTCGCCTTGCCGTTTCCCTGCTCTGGTTACGCTGGTTGTTGAATTACATCTTATTTCCGTTCTATTCTTGCATCCTGATAGAATTGGGTATGTTGACTGTCACATAGCAAGAGATATTCTTTATTAGTCAGAGTTTGCTGCTTGCCATATATTATGAGGTTATCATTACTTAATACATGATTAGTTTTCCTCGTAGTTATATTGCAATCATTTTGGTGATCCTGGTCTATTTGTACCAGTTTTATGTTTTCTATACTGTATGAGTATTGGGTACGTATAGGTGTGTTACTATTATCAGTTTTGGGCAAAATGCCCTGATTGAATGAAAATTGGCTGTAACATAATTGGCATTTCCGGTTTTTCCGGTGTGCATCTACAATCCAGATCATATTTGTTGTTACAGGTTGAACAGACAAGGAACTCTCATCACCTCGCTCATCCAGCACAAACATCAAGTGGTGCCTTTGCGCGGTTTTTTTTTGTGTTTTTCAAGTTTGCGTTTTGACTGGGCAGTATTATCAATTCTGGTGTTATAAATTATTTACAGGTGTTGATCGAAAACGAAACACTCCACTGATTCCACGAACTAACGCACCATAACTGAGCAACAACTTTACTACCTATGTTAGGTACATAAAAAGTTCGAAGAAATTAAAATGCACCGGCCTAAGCGACATCCGCTATGCCCATTGCGATTCAAACATGCTTTTGTATTGTTAACACTGCTCACTGTTATTGTGTGATGTGGTGATAAGACGAAAGATGGCAGCACTGTGTGCCAACCAATTAGCAATCTTACAAGTATGACCGCAAATTTTAAATTGCCTTTGTAATGAGTTATAAATAAAACAATAATGTTATATTACTTTGTTTACTTAATAACAGTTTAACTTTAAGATTATTTAAGATTACAAAATCAGTCACTTAACACATTTCTTCACCATTTAATAATGGCGATGCCATCTTGTTTTTCTTTAATCTTTAACCAAGGCAAACTTGCTCAAACAGCCATTTATAGACCGCTTATAAATAAAATTAACCGTCCGTCCTTTATTAGTTATTACTACTCACAAGACCACTTCGTATTAATTTGTAGAAATGGTTCAGAAGTGTATTAGAGCATGTAAGTTCTTTTAGTTATAAGTTAGGTGAAGATATTCATATAAAAACGAGAGACTGTATACTCGTTAATATAAATATAATTTTTAAAATTAAAATGAATCTTTAAAAATTATCCGAATTAAGAAAAAAACAACGGTGGCAAATTTTTTTATGGTTTTTTTTTCAAAATAGTGTAAAATAATGTTGTTTTTTTACGTCTCTAGTCTAGGCGCGGCGTTTTGTAATGATTGTTGTTATAGTCCGGGAGCCACCAATCCTGAAAGCTCCGTGATCACAGATTCTAATATTTTTAATAAAAAATAAAAGTTAACCTTTAGACGAACAAGATTTGTTTGGTCGGCGTGGATTTGATTTGCCGGAAATATTTTAATTAAATTATTTATTATTAAATTTCCATTTTTTCCCGTCATCAAGGATTTTGATCAATCTTATATAAAATTTTGTGTGAAATATTATGTTCAACAAGAAAATATCCGGCCGACCAATGATTTTAGCCGGAAAGGTCACGCATACCTATTTGAATGGTGTGATAAGGGTAAAATTTATCTATTATCACGGAAACCTTTTTTTTAAATCACGCGTTTTAATATCACATTTATAATTATCTTGGTATGCGTGCTTACAAACTGCCGAAAGTATCGCACATACCAAATTTTAACTCTTCGCTTTTAACGGTTTCTGTATTTCTGTAAAGAGTGAGTGAGGCAGATTTTTGGTTCAAGTTGAAACCTTGCATGAGTTCGTCTCTTTCTATTCCCTACGAATTTAACATTTACCGGCCTCAAAGATACACAATACCGTAAAGTGAGGTTGTTCTACGACAGGGCTGCATAGTGTTAACTCTCTTACTCCGGTTTCTTTTCAAGTCCATAAGACTGCTCCAAGAGTAAGTGAGATAAGAGTAACATCGAATTTATGTTTAAGTTCCATAGATCTTTCTCTCTTACTCCGAAAAGGTCACAGCATACGTACGTTGTCCTACAGCATTTTGGGGGTTCAGATCATTTCGACATTTCAGTCTGCTGTTTTCCTAGCTGTCAAAAGTGTCGTTATTTTGTATAGTTTACTACGCATCAGCATCCTAAACATTTTCATTAATTTACCAAAATTCACTGTTGAATATTTAAAAAAAACTTTTTTTTTGATTTATAATTATTTAAAATTGTCAAACCATCTAATATTTGTACATCTTTGGATATTTTAAACAGATATTGATTTTTTGGTGATATTGTGTCCATTTTAGTGATATAGTGACGATTGATTCAGTGTGCTGTTGCGTTATAAAAGAACATTTAAAGCACTAGATCCAATCTCAGCGTTTCATCATAACAATTTCAATATGAAGTGTTTTGTGTGTGTGTTAAACTTGATTTGAATATATTTAACCTTCATTTATTATATAATCAACCCAAAAAAAATCCTATATTCCCTCTTTTCCATATTAATTAGTATAATAAATAGTTAAAAACTTAAGGAGAGACCAGAGGTAGAAGAGAGACCCTAAAATAAATGTCATCAAATAAGTGAAATCTATAACAGTATAATCCTGACTCATACAATAAAATTTGGTTTGCGTGATACTTTCGGCAGTTTGTAAGCACGCATACCAAGATAATTATAAATGTGACATTAAAAGGTGTGAATTTAAAAAAAAAAGGTTTCCGTGATAATGGATAAATTTTACCCCTTATCACACCATTCAAATAGGTATACGTGACCTAAAAATCATTGGTCGGCCGGATATTTTCTTGTTGAACATAATATTTCACACAAAATTCTATACTTAAGATTGATCAAATTCCGTTATGACGGAAAAAAATATGGAAATTCAATTATAAATAATTTAATTAAAATATTTCCGGCAAATCAAATCCACGCCGACCAAGCACATCTTGTTAGTCTAAACGTTAACTTTTATTTTTTATTAAAAATATTAGAATCCTTGATCACGGAGCTTTCAGGATTGGTGGCTCCTCGCCTACTAAGTGAGTATGCATGAGCATGACGCAGCGACCATTCCCTTTTACCATTCTATTGATATTGTACTGATTGACCTTTTCGCTCATTAGAAACAAGACTCGTTAGCTCAGCTGGTGAGAGCACCGAAACTATTGTCAATGAATTTTCCGGTGCATCGGCGGTCGGAGGTTCAAATCCTTCACGAGTCAAACTTTTACATTTTTCATAATTAAGTTTTTGAAATACCATATATTTTTACCCCGACCCACTTGGGTCGAATATTGAATACTTAAAGTAAATTATAAAACACAATTTCTCGGTTTTTGTTGTTAGTCGAATATTTTTTTAATTTAGCGCCACCATTGCAAAGATCCATTGATGGATCTTTTTGCACTCTTATATCTCTAGTAACTGTATACTCGTTTTTATATGAAGATATACAGGAACTCGTTTTTATATGAAGATCTTCACCTTGTAATTTAGTTTTGATTTCACACACACAGAGTCACATAAATATTTAGGTGTCAAAATTATGTTCCCTAACAATATATTTGATCCATTTTTACAATTTAATATTAAATTAGATACGGAGGCGATGGTTACGTTTTAGTGCCGTCTGGCAAACTCCATGAAGTATGAACGCAGTTATAATGCAATTCAACTAAGAATAGGACCGACTGGGCGCCATATTGTGACGTCATAGCTATCAATTCAAACCAAATAGGTAAAGTGAGCATAAAAAGTTTTGATTTAACAAAACTTATTTACTAAGATTACGTGAGAAAAAACATATTTTTTTTAAATAAAATTTATTTACTAAGATTGAGAAAAGCAACCGAGTTTTGATTTAACAAAACTTATTTACTAAGATTACGTGAGAAAAAACATTTTTTTTTAAATAAAATTTATTTACTAAGATTGAGATATTGAGAATATTTTTAATAATATTTATATATGTATTAAGACTGGGAAAAAACATTAATCAGGATCTAGCTCTTCAATTCCGCTCATCTCAGCATTACCCCCGGAGTAGTTATGAATAATGTATGTGCATTTGTACTCCAGTCATGGATGTTTTATATGTATTTCTATATGAATATATTTATATATGTACAGTATATGTATTCTATCCGTTACCCTAGTATCCTATAACACAAGCCTTATAGTGCTTACTTTGGGGCTAGGCTAATTGGTGTGTGTGTTGGAAATATTTATTTATTATTTATAATCATGCACTATTACTAGGTCACATACGAACATGCATCCTTTATGTACACGAAAGTTTTAAATCGAATTTCTGAACGCAATTTAAAGTGACATTTGGTTGACGATTTAGGTTATCAACCATTCATAGTCAAAGCAAGCTAA